TGTTTTCATGGACGCCATACAGTCTCAAAGAGCGCCGACGCACACGATTGCAAATAATCGAGAAGACTCCATACTTGAGATAATTTTTTCTTGGTCGATTTTTTAAATTCCTTGTTTTTGCTGTTCTGTTTCCCTTGGTCTTAAAGAAGTCTGCAAAATTTGGCTATGGAATCTGTCGTAACGCGTTTTTTTACGTCTGCACATATCTCTTTCCCCGTACAAATTTTCGACACAATTAATGAGCAAGGAGCTTGTCGGCTTCTCTGCTTGATGATAACTCTTGAGGTTTTTTGAGACTCGACTTTTATTTATATGGCCAGATTTTTTTCCGTGAATTCTATCGCTTCCAGGTTACATAACAACCAACAAGGAGTCGGTTTACCGCTAAACGTCTCTGAGGGTTTCTGTAAACAATTTCCAGCAAACAGAGCTCAGACTCGGCAAAGTACATTTTCGGTTTATAAGTTACATCCAGTACATCTAGTACCCTTGATATATGAACTCAAATTATAAAATCGAGCCAGATCATACTTCGTCGAAGACTACGCTACATCTTTTTCTAATATAATAATGAAATTTTGTTGAATACTTCGATTTGGCCTAGCTGTTTAAATCTCGCTTAGATTAATGCGAGTCGGAACAGGAACATTGTTCTCACAAATTCTCATTCTAGATTGAATCTGTCCTGTTTGTACTCAGCTGACTTGGACTTCCTTCTTCTTCAATTCTCTACCACAACTGCTACATGCTTCTATTGTTTTGTTCTTTATCACCTTTCATCCTATGACTGTTTACCCTTTTTTGTTCATTCTGCAGATATGAACTTGCCTTCCAACAAATAACAAGACGTTTCTGGAGTCAGCAATACCTCTGTTGTAAAAATATTATGCGAATAAAGTGTAGAACCATAACGTGTCAAAAAACATTTCTTTTTTTCATGCAAGCTGGAAAGTTATTTCACGCCAAGTCTGAGTTTCGACCTCTTCAGGCTTTAAGACCTTCATTGATGTCAAATAAGCTAGCTTGTCAGGACAACAAAAGATCTCTTAAAAATGGCGCCCGTTTGTTATTTAGACGGCTATTTGAGGTTGTTGAAATGGAATTCGAAGAGGGTTTGAGATTTACCAATTTGACAGAAGATTATTGTTAACTTTAAAATTCGTTATATCTCCGTATCAAGAAATGGTCTATTGTTCCGGCCCAACATCACGGATTAAGTATTACACAATAGTCCTTTTGTTATTGGTAGCGCTGAGGGACTTTTGCCGAAGCTTAACGAAAACCTC